ACTTAACAAGGTAAACTAATAACTTATATAATATTATATATATATATATATATATATATATATATATATATATGGAAAATAAAATTTCATAAGGACAGAAGAAAATATGGTGAACACCGGCCATCCAATTTATATTAGGCCTTTAAGAATACAAAATCTTAAAAAAAATGTTCAATTTGTGATCATGGCCATATGCAACAATTATCCCGAAGGCCAAATATCTAACCATCCAGCAAACAGGGGATCTGTGTCACTGTGTTTTCTCTCCCCTCAAATGAACCGGTTTTTAGTTTTAGGTTTTCTATAAAGAAAGGGAGATTCTTGGATTATATCCTTTGCTAATGTATGTACAAGCTGATAATCCCAACAATTCATAATCAAGTGGCCTCTAATTTTTTATTATTGAATAATGAAAAACTGCATGGGTTTTAATTTAAGAAATTAGACGCGGCTTCTAATTTCTAAAATTGAAAATTCATGAAGTTTCTCTATGAAACCAGATCATCTTTCTTGCATAATATAGTATAAGGGTAAAAGGAGAATGCAAACCCTTATCATAAAACAGGAATTGCATCCAAACGAGAATGCAAACCGTTATCATAAAATAGGAAATGCATCCAATGATAACTACGAGTAAAAACAACAATGACAATAGGAAAACTTTGTTTTGTTTCTTGTTTTTCCAAATTTCAGATACACTTGCTTGAGTTAATGGTTAAACGCTAAAAAGGAGAGACTTGCCTAAGCCTCCACAACTCCCCCGAAACATAGACGGGTCCTTAAAAGACAAAACCACTAAGTTCAGTCTCAAATTTGATGGGTGAGCCGAGATGACAGAAGAAGAGTTGGTGGAGTCCAAGAAATTAGGAATTGGGAACGATAGATTACAATTAGAACAGAATGAACATACTATCCTTGGTTGTGCCCTTGCTTGGTATACCAAAACTGGGTGAAACAGTTACGTATCCAAAAGGGTTTGGATCCGATCAAAATTCCAAAGTTGAGAATACTAGGGCAAGAGCATTACACATAGCGAAGACACAGATATGTGTACAGCCTGCAACAGTTATGTGCTTCAAAGACACAAACCCCACTATTGGCCGTTGAGACATGACACATCCTCATGTCAATTATAGGGCGGGGAAGTGGGATGATAATTCTAAGTGTCAAAGTTTCCAAAGTGCTTGATATGTATTATGTGCTTGCAGTGTCCACATGTCAAGTACCAAGGACACGTGTCCCAGATACATTGCAAGGAAGTGTGATGTCCAAGTAAATCTTTGTCTCAAACCTCATGCCTTCTAATAAAAAAGAAATAGAAATGGGAAATCCTCAACAAAGCCCCCTTCGTTCTAGAAAATAGAAGTGAACAATAAACTCTTCAGCAAGCTCCACCATTTATGAATGCTCAAAACCAGAATATCCATAACTTAGCTTATCCATGAAGAAAGAAATGACAGTTTTACGTTCTGAGATCCAAGTTACAGCAGACCTGGAAGCTAGACAGATGGTGTGCTTACTCAAGATACAACATTTTACATAGTTGATCAGAAGAAGTTATGACCAAAAAAAGATGAAAGTTTACCGGTGAAGAAAAGCTCAAACACCATTACATTAGGTCTCAGTATATTCATTTAATAATTCATTATTTTATTTTCTAACAAATGAATATTACTATTCAATTAAATTTGCTTAGAATGACATTGTCAATGGGATGCCATCTGATCTGCATGCCTAAAATCTGCTAAGTTAAAACAAGACATCAATTCCAAAATCACATAAAAAAGAGTCAGCATCTACCTTAAAACTATGGAATAATAGCATTTGGAATATAAGAAAATTTTATTTTTCCAAAACAATAAAAACATCAATACCTGAGGGAAACACAATCAAACAGCGTAAAACTGAAAAGAAATTCAACATTCTAGTCCCTATAAAGCACAGATCTTTCAGAAAGCAAACAGAATGAAGGAAATTTAACATTGAAATTATACACAAAAAGGTATGCTTCCTTGAAATATATAATCCAAGTTGCTGTTCAAGATATAAAATATCAGAACTTTTCTTTGGCTCAGCATAAAATCCCCTGAAGTACAAAAAACCGCTATAAGATCAATTAGGGAACTTCCAATAATAAAAAGAACCCCATCTCTCAATAAACCTCGATATAGCGACAATGCACCTTTGCATCAAGCCTCAATAGATTCATATAATAATCATTTTCTGTGAAGAAAGAAGAGTTGATAGAGGACAAGACTTAAAAATACAGAGACAGCAATTAAAGAAAATAACAGTCACATAGTCATAAGCTTTTCCAGAAAAGCAATAGAAAATACTTACGTAACGATGGAACATCTCCACTGCTTTCTCAGCCTCCTCAACAGTGCTCATTGTCACAAATCCAAACCCACGGCTCTGGTCTGTTTCCCTATTGTAAATAACCTGTTTCAAAGGAAGAAAGAAAAAGAACAATCAATTAAAAGAAAACAAAATAAAGAAAAAAAAAAGGAAAAAGATATAGCAGCATGAGTCTCAAGCACTTCAAATAAATTTATTAAACCATCCTATCAACACCAACAAACAACAGTATACCCATAAAACATGAAATAAACCAAAAAAGGATAAAAAAATATTACAATGACAAAAGAAGAAGAAGAAGAAATCGATAAATAAGTTCCCAGACTTCGATCAATGATAACAGCCCCATAAGTCCTCCATGCAGAACACAATTCAACAACACCCATTCGAATCTTAAAGACAGAAGCTATAAAACTATATCAAAGTAAAAAGCTCCAAATTTCCTTTTTTTGACAAGTAAAAGAACAAATATTCATCAAAAGATAGTGATACCCTACCTCTGCAACCTCGACAATCCCAGCCTTGTCAAAGAGCTGAGCCAGCTTCTCACTATCCATATCATAAGGCAAATTCCCCACAAAAAGCTTGGCCTCTTCAGGTGGTTCAGGATAAGTCTCCTCCTCAAACCCCTCTACACCTGCCTCTTCCTCCCCTTCCTCTGCAACACTCCCCTCTCCCTCTAAATCAGAGGCCTCAGCTACAACCTCACCCGCGTCCCCCCCTTTTTGTTCCCAATCAAAACCCCCTTCACCAACTTCATTTCCCTCCTCTTGCCGAGCCCAATCGGAGGTTCTAGCCACCAAGCTAACTCCATTGTTTTTCCTAAGAGAAACCCATGTTTGAGAACTGGATAAAGAGCAAGATAAATGTGAAGGTGAAATGGTTTTGCCAACAAAATGCACAAAGTTGGGTTTGAGGTGGGTTTGGTTAGAGAGAGAAGCAACTGGATAGAAATCCCTTCCAGTGAGGAGGGTGGGGAGAGAAGCTAGGCACCCATCTGCCACAGATAAGGACTTGAGCGCTGGTATTGCAGGCATGGTGCTGTGAAGTGGGGAGAGAAATAGGGTTTTGGGGAGAGATGGTAGAGAGAGAAAGAGAGGGAGAGAGTTAGCAGAGGAGGAGAGGGAAAGGGAGAGGATAAGGAAGTGAGGGGAGGGGGTTTATACGAGAGGAGCGCGCCCTTGCCTCATGGGCGGATGATCCAAAAACCACTGCCCTCATATAAGTCCAGTTATTAAGTGCTCTCATGGGTCGTTTTAAACTGGGATAGTACACAATCACACCATTTTCTTTTGATACAAGCACGGCACAATTTTATTATAATATGTAATTTTATTGTAAAAAATTCTTAGAATTTTTTTAAAATCTATTTTTATATTTAATAATAAAATTTTAAATTTTAAAAATAGTTAAAATCAAGTAGATCTATAAGTATATGAAAATTTTGAAAATAGACGGTCAAGATAATATGTTGCAAGATGCACTATTTTTTTTTACTCAAAAACTTTCTTTTTTCATATTCATACATCTTGATATCGAGATGATCGATTAGACGGTTTTTCAACATGAAAACAACATTTTTGATAGATTTTTGAGGTGCGTCCGTGATTCTACATTCTAAGGTTGCAACCTTGTATAAACTTTTCCCTTACTTAAAACTATATTGTGTAAAATTTTATAGTTTAGATGAGTCGTAAAGTTTAAGAATAAGAATTTTTTTTGGTCAAATTTGAACTTGGTCAATAGAATAATTGCAGCCAATTAATTAATGTGATCATCTTATACCAAACGTAAATGGCCTCATTCTATACTTCCCCTTTTAAAACGTCGGGTTGTACAAGGGTCAAAGTGGGTGGGTCTATGTTAGGTCATGGGAGCCAGACCCGATAAGATCCGGCCCAAGTTGGATCCGGCGTGAACCTAATCTAGGTTAGGTTTAGGTCTAGTAGAACCAAACCTAACCTCTTGGGTCCAATATCTAAGACCTAGACCAAAACCTATGGGTACATGTAAACGTGTTGATTATTTTTAGAGCTCCAAATTTATTTTTTTTGGTCGAGTAAAAAAGGGGAGTGTGATTAACTTTCCATCAACCGTAGATGTTTGTTGATCTGCATCTACACATATGGCGTGTAAACGTGCGATATATTTGTTTTAGGCAAAGTTTTATTGTAATATAATACCATGTTAACATGCAAACTTCATGTTAAATACTGCTAAAAAAAATTGATAGCTAATGGAGGTCATTGCTTTGAGTGAAGGCTTATCTCAACTGCTTCGAGCCTTTGAGTAAGCCTTGAACATTAATTATACGTATGAAACCTTAAAATATAGTTTTATATTTTAAGAACTATATTTTTCCGTAAAAATTTTGCATTGCCAAGGCTTAAAAATCCCATCCAAAGGACTGTAACAAGCAAGGCTGGTATCATTAATAATGTTTGTAATGGTTGCTATGATAAAAGGAAGAAAATTATGGAAAGATTATTTTGTAATATAAGAAGTAATGACATTTTTTTATCTTAACGGATATATCAAAGGGGAATGGTGAGACCACAGGCTATTGTCAAACTGATACAGTCTTGATTCTAGCTTGCCATCATGAACACTCCACTGCAATAAATCCATACCTCATATATCAACTAATTAGTTATTTTCAAGTCGATTTTAAAAAAATCAAAATGGCCACGAATAATACTCCATGCACTAGATTTGGGAAAAAATATAAAAAGGATTGAAAATAAAAATAAGATTATAACAAGCACAAGCACAAATTAAAGGCACACACAAAGTTTACGTGATTCAACTAAAAACTATGAGCGTACTCGAGGATATATACAATATCGGAGGTGACAAAATTATAATCTTGTAAGTATTATAGAGACTAGCAAATTGCACTTTTGGCTTGTTTTTAGCATAGGTTTATGAATGAAATAAATGTGAAAAGAGGAAAATAATTTGAGAGAAAGGATGATCTTAAATTGTTCTCATCTTATTTTTCCTTTCTTTTTTTCTTTTTTTAACCATAACTATAGCTTTGAACTTGATGCTAGTGTTGTTATGCTTCTAATAAGAATATCATACCATAAGAGCATATAATCTCTGATCTTATAATTTGTACCCAACAGAGAATTATAAGGTCAGGTCACGCTTACAATACTATCATAATCTCTAAAAATATAGATTATTTTCTAAATGGATACTTTCTTCTTTACCTTTAGGGAATCATAACGGAAGAAAGCACAAATATAACAAATAGTGAAGAGAGAATGAGAGAGGACAATTTCACTAATAATGAAGAAAGAATAACAAGTGAGAGAGAGAGCTTAAAATAGAAATAACCATTACTACTAAACATTCCAAGAACAATTCTTTTGTTATTATAAAGGCAAACAAACTTATCTCTAGATGTCATATATATTTTGCGAAACCCAAAATATGCTTGCAGGTAGATCTAAGCATTGCTTATGACTGTGTGTCTAGGAATTTACTCTTGCTAGACTTCAGTCTTTTGGTTTTCCTTTATTGTTTATTTCTTGGGTTCGTCTTTGCATTATTACCACCCCCTCTTTTTTAGTGTTACATAACAACTCTCCAAAAAGGCATTTAAGAGGTAAAAGATGTTTACGGTAAGTGGACCCATTATCTCCCTATCTATTTCTATTGGTTATAGATTTCTTTAGTAGACATCTGGATCATGTGGTAACCCAATGTTCAATTCCTCTAGCTTCTGATGCTTGGAGAAAGTAAAACCAGAATAAAAAAAATAAAAAAAGAAAAGGATAGAGAGAATATACCCTATCTCAATATCTGCAAGGGAATCCACCGCAAAACGATATTTTCACAAAAGATCAAATTTATTCAATTCTCATTCTCTCTCTACGTACCACCTATGTCTCTTCTCTATTTTCTCTCTCTCTAGTACCATCCCTATTTTCTCTCTTTCTGACTTTTACATTAGCCTATCTGAGAGTAAAAGATAACTACCACTTATTATTTCCTAAACTAAGAGATTTTTACATTATTTTTTAAGCCAAAATATCTTGAGCTTATCTATATGTTATTCCCTAAACTAAAACGATAGACCTTCTTGGGTAGCAGCTCAAGCCCTACTAAAACTCACACACCAAAATCCTCACACCCCTATAAATTATCCCAGCTCACTTCTTATTCCTAAAATTTTTAAAACTAAAAAAATAAAAAATAAAAATAAATAATTTCAATTTTTATTTGCATCATTCTTCTAGGGTAGGGAGAAGCTCGACCTCAAGCTTATATCCTTCAGAAGCCAATCAATAATTGGTGACGTAGTCTCACCATTCTCATTGGTATTTTTCTTCAATTTGCTTCACTCTTATATCGAAGTAGAACACGGAGATCTCAGGCTCAATCATTATTTTTTTTTCTTTTTCATGTTCCTAGTAATACTTGAAAAAATTGAACTGAATACTAAGATTATGTTGATGCTCCATAGGATGTGGATCTTGTTAGTAAATTTCTTCATTACAATCGGGATCAACAGCCCGGGTCGGTCGGGCAACTGATTCATCTCTACAATGAGTTTTGGCGCCAAATCCACGGGGATGCGAGCGCCCTCTTCTCGATGGATGGTGTCCTGCAACCATCGTTGATTCATTTCATGTACTTCAGTTCGAATATCCTCCATGACTTTGGTCACTTTCTAAAGTTTGTCCCAAGCGATTATCCATAGCAAAATTAGCTTTGAGTGGCATTACAAAAAACTGCATCTCCGGATCTTAGTTGCTCTGATATCAACTGATGCAGGGAGAAATAACAAACTAGAAAAATAGAAGTATATAAAAAAAAGAAAAAAAAAATTTGAGATAATATATCATCTCTCAATATCTGCAAGGGAATCCAACTTAAGAAGATCTTTGTATAAGATCAAATTTACTCAATTCTCATTCTCTCTGTACGTACCACCTATATCACTTCCCTATTTTCTCTCTCTCACATACTTATTTTCTCTTAACTTCCACATTAGCATTTCTAAGAGTAAAAGATAACTACCATTTATTACTTCCTAAACTAAGAGATCTTTACCTTATTTCCTAAACCAAAATATCTTTACCTTATCTATATGTTATAACCTAAACTAAAAAGATAGACCTTCCTGGGTGACAACTCACGCCCTACTAAAACTCATGTACCAAAATCCTCATGCCCCTACTAATTATCCCAGCTCACTTATTATTCCTTAAATTCTTAAAATTTAAATAAAAATAAATAATCCCAAATTTTATTTGCATCACTTTCCCTTCTAGATGTGACTATGGGATTTCTCACCTTTTTTATGCTAATGATGCAATTATTTCTTGTAAAGCATCTTAGAAAGAGGCTAGTGGTATGACTTCTCTTCTATCTAATTGTGAAAAGACCACAAGACATAAACTCAATGTTCCAAAGAGTAAAATCATGTTCTTCATGGTGGCTCATTGTTTAAACAAATTATTGTGAGGGAGCTTGGTTTCGATGAGGGATTTCCTTTAGTTAGATATTCCTCTCTTTCATGGTAATTTGAAACACAATCCATAATCGAGATGGTAAGGTTATGGGAAGATTGGTCGTGGCAAGCTTTATCACTATTTTGTGCAAGCCGGTTACAACTGTTGAAATCGGTTCTTTCTTCATTGGTTATCTTCTGGATTATGTCTTTTATCTTACGTAGGCATACTTGTAATATGGTGGAGAGGCTTCAACATAGTTTTTTATGGGCAGATACGACTAAGAAGCGAATTCATTTGGTCAAGTGGAAATATGTATGTTTTATTATCGAGGAAGGGGATCTTAGGATTCTTGGTATCTTAGAGTTTAATATCACAGGTATGATGAAGTTGGCATGGAGAGTTCTGGAAAATCCATCATCTTTAATATTATAGTTTTTTAAACATAAGTACTTCAAAGGCTCATTTGTTTGGGGGGTCAAAAAGAAAATATGCTTGTTTACAATGAAAATCTGACAGATCTTCTGATAAAGATCTCTCAAATTTTAACACCTTAAATTAATTAAAAAGATGTAAATAAAGTGGTACAGAAGGTGGGACATATCGAATTCATATCTGAGGCTAGATTTGCCGGAAACGAGCAGATCTACTCCCAGATCTGTTGCAGAGCAAACGTGATCCAGAGCATTAAAATACGATTTTTAAGACAAGTTAAAAAATAAAAAATAAATAAAAGAAGTAAAACATGAAAAAGAA